ACCAAGCTGAAAAAGAATGGAACAGTTCTTACTTCATCTTCAGGGAATTCATCGTCCTTATCAGCATATGTTACATAAATAAAGAATTACGGAACATTATTACTTGGAAGTACTAATAGTACACAAGCTGTTATAACTAACTCACATAAGCCAGACAAATGTACAGTAAGGCTATTTCTTTGAAAATATTACAAATACAGAAAGGCTATTTCTTTTTAAATATTACAAAATAAATCCTAAATACAAAATAAATACACTTAATGCTATAATTAACAGGTTTCATCTCAATGAAAAAAAGTAATTATCCTCTAGATATGCAATGTCCACAATGCAAAATTAATAGAAAGTTGTCACTTACGACAATGAAAGTGATGACAATATTACTGTATCTGTACACAAAAACATACATCAGCGTAGACACAAATAAGGTATAAATCATTTTTAAATGAATGCTCAAGATCGATATAAAAGCACTTACATAGTGAAGTAGCAATAATGGAGTGACTATGATGCCAAGAAAACTGCCAAATGCAGAATTAAACACTGCTGCAGCCTGAAATGAAAAGAACAACAAGAACATAGATTAACAAGTATCAAACTTTTCAAGCTGTTGAAGTATAATGGAAAGTCTTCACCCAAAAATCAATTGGCCAGGACATATGTAATTCTGAAAATGAATAGTTCTGAACAAAATGAAATGGTTACCAAAAGATTTTGAAAATCTGTTAACATGCAACCTTGTCCTTCCCATTACATGATGTCTTAAAATTTATTTTATAGATAGGTTGCATTCAGAACCTTACTAAATGAAACCAGAAAAAGTCTAATTCACATCACCCGAGTATTGGATTTTTAAGTCTAAGTAAGCCATAAGCATTCCTACGTGATAAGGTTGGTGGCTGACATAAATTGGACTATTTCTGTTTTCAGGTAAGAGTGGTCCTCAGAGCATCTTTAATAATTACCTCATTTCCACCTACTGTTTTTGTAAGTATGACAGCCGAGGAGACTGGTGGGGGCATGCACCCAACTACCATTAGTCTGAAAAAGCATAGCAGAAACTCATTAACCTATTTAAACATTATCCTGTTGGCAGGAAACAAATTCATGATCAGATTCATATTTTCAATGCAATTGTAATCTTAAGTACTTATTTCTGACTTGACATGCTATGAGCAAGGCATTTACCTTCAATTTCTGGTAGCTTGGAACATATACTGTAAATTGTGCAATGAATTTCTTGTTGGCAAATGCACAGAAAAAAATATAACTTTGCCAACTATACATGCATGTAAAAAAACTGTACTTAGATTGTGAAATATCACTACCACGGCAGTGTGCACTCACCCCTTTAAAAGCCATTCCTCTAAATGGCTATTTTCCAGGAGAGTGACCAACAGGTGGACAAACACTGGAACAAAACCAAGGGTGAAGGACTGGACAAATACATGTAGTTTTACTTGGAAGAGGGCCCTCTTCAGATCCTGTGGATGAAAAAGAAGACAACAAAATAAATCTAATATTTACCCCTTCTCTTAATTTCTATGTAAAATCAAGTAGTTTTTTTTTACTTTTTGATGAAAAAATCAGTTGAAAACATGGGAGCCAGGTATTATGTAAGCAGATCATTTGAACCATTTTATTTTATAAGAATAGATTTGAAGGCAACAAGAGAATGAAAACCTTACCTCTGTTCTTAAAGACAGCCCACTGTTAAAAAATATGGTTGACACTGCAATAAATTTGACTGTGATTTCAGGTTTGATGGGTCCTGGGGAGGCAACATTAAAAAAGCTTTTATCATAAAACATTTTATAGCTATCTGACAAGCTGTACATAAAAAATCATGTTAGACCAGATATACTTGAACATGGTTAGTAGGTACAATTGACCATAATTTTTATGAAATCTACTTTTTGCAAATTTTTTTAAGAAACAAGGCAGCAAAGCTGTCAAATGTACAGACAAAATAACAGAAAAAAGGATGCGAAAGAGGTCATTTTGCCAATTTTGATGCAATAATAAACAAGCCCATGGAACTTCAAAGTCACACCTTGAAAATGCCAATATGTGAAAACGTTTAACTGGCAGTAAGAATTACCAAACAGACTGCATTGACTACTGAAGCTGTATTTTAGTCCCATGTTTCTTTCCTGTAAGTTTGAGAACAGTAACTGACATGGTTTTTCTTAAATGGTCATCATGGGAGCAGTGCCCAAAATAGTTTTTTTTTAAATTTTGATGCAATATTACAGTGCTGTCTTTGTTACACATTACACAATAACAAGTTTACCATCATTTTTAAGTAATCAACTAATAATGTTGTAAAGATGCAGGAAATGTCAACCAAACACTTTTATATGTCTTATTAGTTAAATAATGAGACTGTTAACATGCCTAAGAATTGAATCTGAGAAAATGTGAAACAAGACAGCACTGTTCTGACATGGGTTTATTTCCATTTTTAACACTTTTTTTAACATAAAACAAAATAAACAGTTTACTGCAATTTTTATATGATCAACTAAGAAAATTGATGAGATGGGAAAAATATCAATAGAATAGTGTTAAATGTCCAATTTCCTCCATTCTGAGATTCTGAACATAGTGAATGATTGAATCTGACAAACTGCAATGATATGAGTTTATTTCCATTTTTGACACTTTATTACACAATACACGATAACAAGTTTACCATCATTTTTACATAATCAACTAACAATGTTGTAAAGATGCAGGAAATGTCAAACAAACACTTTTATGTATCTTATTAGTAAAATAATAAGACTGTTAACATGCCTAAGAATTGAATCTGAGGAAATGTGAAAAAACAGCATAACTTCTAAAATAATGGCCCGATTATGCTGATTTTCGAACTCAACCTGCGTTTTAGTAAGATAGACCACTCCTGTGAGTTTAATGACAATTGGCCTATCTGTTTTTCTTATATTGTGTTTACAGTGTTGCATAAATGCTGAAAAATGAAAAAACAGCATAACTACTAAAATAGTGGCCCCATCATGCCGATTTTCGAACTTGACCTGCGTTTTACTAGGATCGATTACTCCTGTGAGTTTCATGACAACAGGCCTATCGGTTTTCCTTGAAATGTGTTTACAGTGTTGCATTTATGCTGAAAAGTGAAAAAACAGCATAACTTCAACAATAATGGCCCGATCATGCTGATTTTCGAACTTGACCTGCGTTTTATGAATATTCATCAGCTCTGTAAATATAAAGGCAAAAAGTAAAACTGCCTTCCACTTATCGTGTTTACAAGGAAAGTGCACGGCGCCGGCGCCGGCGACGACGGCGACTACAGACGCAGGTGATGGCAATATGTACAGACACATCTGTGTCTGTACATAAAAATGCATTTGGTCTAGAAGATACCGTCTTGGTTTGGTGAGTTAGATTTAAATATACAATTGGCCCCAGAAGAAACCTAAATGCTGTTGTTTTTATATATTCACACTGTGGATTTGTCATTCCCTACGACTAATAAGATTGAAAAAAACACTTATCCTGACATTTTGCTGCTATGCTCCTAATACATGTGAAAATATTTGTCTGCTGACCCAGTTAACAGAGAGTTGTCACTCTTTTACCAACTTTTTAATTTTGTCTGTCCTTACTCAAAATGAAAATTTGTACATCAGAATAAAATTTTATTAAATTTCACATACTCCAGTATAGGCACATAGACTCATTACATCTACTTCAACTGTTAAATATTAACAATTTTGAGATTTACAATTCATGGTCATTTACATCATGTACCATAGCAATAAATGTGAGGCTAACTATGTAAATTTACAAAATCAGAATTTAATTCTGTTCATTTTACTAGATTTTTCATAAGCCATTTAATTTAAAATTAATTGAATTACTCAATACTGGACCATTTTAACCTTTCATAATCTCAGTAATGTTTGCTAATAAATTTATATTTTACTGGAGTTTATATCTCTATAGGGTTTTTAATTTTATAATATTATCCATAAAGTTTCAATTAAATAATAATTAGTTCTTGACTTATCATTAGATGCTTTAAAATGCATTTATTTTGTCCAAGGATTTTCATCTTTAACACTGAAGTTTTCCCAAAAGGCTATATCTGGATCAGACTGAGGCTGTGACCCTTCAACCAAATCCTCAAAGGTGAGCATTCTAAAACTGTGTGGTTTCCTTGTCTTTAAAACATTTATATCTGCATTCACTGCAGTTGACACACAATGGACTTCATCTAACATAGTTTCTTCAAATATCCAATTGTGCTCAAGTTTTCCATCAACACATACTTCAGTATCTGTAACTATTGTGTCCTTCTCTAACAAATCCGTGTTCAATCTGAAACCAAGTCTATGAACATCAAATCCAATACCAATGCCTAGTGTCTTGACATAACTTTCTTTTAGACACCAGTGACGATAAAACACTGCTAACTGATCCCATTCATTAGGAGGTGAATGAATTGCATCCAATTCTTCCACAGTAAACTGTGGTTGCATAGTGGATAGGAACTTTTCAACAGATTTCCCTCTAGGTCTCTCAATCTTCATCACATCAATCCCTACATCAACACCAGTGTCTGCTGCCAGCACAGCCCAGTCCCCATGGTGAGACACATTAAAACTCAACTTCTGCTGTACCTCATTCATCAGATATGGCTTTCCCTTTTCTGTACGGCCAAGTTTTACATCTCCATAGGGAATGTCTAGCATTTCTGAGATAGCTTTTCTCAGCAGCAACCTCCCAGCAATGGCAGACCTGGCATCCTTTTTGTAGTAAAATTTCCCAATCCTTGATTTCTCCTCTGGTTGTATGCTCTGTGAGGCTAGTATCCATTCAGATTTTGTAGGGGTCCAGGTCACACAATTGAAAGCCCATCTTATGCTCGACATGGTAAGTTTTGTTCTCATGACAATGAGCTGAAAATATTCATCCTGATTCCCTGTCCCCTCATATGGATTTTGCACCTTATGGGAGAAAAGAAAATACACGATAAATCTGCCTGTGCTCAAAGACAGAATTTTTTTTAATTTTATCAAAGCAGGTAGAAGAGATTTGCACTAACATGTAGCCTTTGTCTTCGGAGATAAAGTTGAGTGCTTACACTACAGAGTTGCAGTCATTGCTAAATAAAATTTTGTTATTTTTAAAACTGTAGGCAAGTTGCCAGAAGCATCTGTGTATATTCTTTTCTCCATATAAAAACCAGTTTTTTTTTTTTTTTTTTTAGAAGCTTGCACGTGCTCCTATCTATCATTTCTGTTCCGGATCTAGCATTTGCTTACACACGTTTTCTAATACCCACCTCCTTGTACGCCAAATTTTGGTGCCAATCGTGCCAAAATGATAACAATAACAATCCCCAACAAAAACCAATTCTTCTGGAGAAAATGGAAAGCTGTCATTCGCACTGTAAAAACAGCTGCCTCTCACTTCTGTAGTCTCAACGGGCCAGCATAAAACGGAAGTGCCCTGGAACTACTATTTTCATATGCGGAAGAAGTTCCGTGATATAGTTCTCTTTGTCATCTCCTTTTTAAATGATAATTCTCCGTCAGATTTCTTTAAATATTTTCCGTTATGCATTGGAATATGCAATTATTTTTGCTTTTGAATTTTCTCAAATATCAGCTCAACCAGTCTTGAGAGTATTAATATATATTTAAGCCAATAGGTAAGCTGAAGAATGGCGGAGAGAAATGAAATCGCTCGTTCTGCTACTATCGCATTCACATTACCGCTTTCATGCTTCATTTGCCTGGGGAAGGTAATTTTTCATTTTCCAATATTTAAGCTTCTCTGTTATCTCAGATAATCTTTTTATATTTTATTTTAATGGATTTTAAATGATATTCACACTTAAACTTTGGGAATCGCAAATTGAAATAAATCTGAGGAACACTGTGTCTGACACTGGTTATATATATATGGTTATATCGGTCTAACTCTTTCAAATGATATCTAATTTATTATCTTAAGGTTAAGGAGCCCACTGTGTGCCCCAACAACCATGCATTCTGCAGTACTTGTATGGAGGTATGGCTGGAGAGAAACAATCAGTGCCCGTCCTGTAGAGTCCCCATCACATCAGCTAATCCCTGCAGGAAGGTTATTGGTGAGAAAATAGAATTTCTGATTATTTTTGGTTTGAAGGCTTTAACCACTTGTTATAGTTTATTTTTGCATTGTATTGGATTAATGTGGCAGTCCAAGGTTGTCCTAGGTGGTTTTCAAGTTTATGCACCCGGTTTTAATATCATTTAGCTATTTTACGACAATCGTTTACTATCCAATCAAGGTGACAGCCGAGCGTGTGTCACATAAAGGCTTTGTTTACTTCATTTAGTGTCTTGTCATTCAGTATAACTCATTTTTTCACAACACAATTTTCTTGGCACTTTTCGATTGCCTCTTTTACTCCCCAATTCCCCAATTTTTACTTCAAGTAATGGTAGATGCAATTGTTAGCTTTCTTTCTCGGGATAAGCATACTAAGATGATAAAGATTTGTGCTGGACAGAAGATGCATGGAATGGACCTTCTACAAGCCTGTGTTAAAAAAAGTGACAAGTACAACTTTTTTTTTTGTTGGTATGCACTTGTTAGATACAACTGCAATATTTTATGCATTGTTATATTGCAGGAGGTTTAAACCAGGGTGAGAAGCCAGAAGAGAGTTTCAGTAACCCAGAGCTGAGAAAGGCAAGACTGGATATGCTGTTCAGAGACTATGAGGTTAGCTTTTTACAACAGCTTCTATAATATGGCCTCAATGCCAAACACAAAGTTTTTTCCATGGAATTGGAAACTTGAAGATTCTTTATTCGATTTTTATGGGCCCCAGAACCCCAGCCAATTAAATGTTTAGTCCCACAATAAATGTGATTGATATTTTAATTCCAAGCTGGAGTCTGTATTGCTGCCAACCAAGAAGTTCAGTGCATATGAATTTTAAGTTTTAAACCACTATGGAAAAGCTGTGGGAAGCCTTTATATAAAATTCAACAGCTCAGATGTCTAGATCACAGAATACATCTTAAGAAGTGGATGAGGACTATTTGCCAACAATGTGTTCAGTGTTATCTGAAGTGCTGTGCAATGGAAAGATAATTGAAGACTTTCAGAATTTTGTATTGATTGTTGTAAGGTTCATATTTATGAATTTTGCAATCTTTCACCAGTTCATTTGTTTAGTTCATATGTTTTGAGAGTTATTCATTTGGAGTATTTATTATTGTGCTGTATTAATTCACCTCTTACAATGTCTGTTTTGGAAGTTAGGTTTTAAGTCCACTAGAATTGTGTTACAGGATTAAAGTGGCTACTGCAAACTTGTACAGCTCAGATTGAATATATTTCGGGTAAAATAATGTGTCCTCAATTTCAGCATTTTCAAAAAAGTTGGTTCTCATTGCAGGCAGAAATTGAACATCTTCAGACCCAGGTAAAAGATTACAAGACAGAAAATATCACACTTCGAGATAAATTGACACACTCTGATGGCACCTGCCTAAGATGTGGTGGTCTTGAGAAGGGCGATGTGGTTACAACGGTCATGGATAAGAAAGTAGACAAATTGATGTTGCTAACTGGAAAGTTACAGGAGGCCACTGGGTTGTATGAAAAGGTGAACCAAGACATGAAGAAACAGAAGAAGGTGAGATGAGTGAAGATGTATTGTACATTTGATGGATGTGAGGGAAAATCTTTCCAATTTAAACACCTTTTTTTAAACACAGACATATATTTTACAGGGAAAATGAGAAACTTCCTCTGTTATTTCATTGGCATGTTCCATGTGAGGTTTCTTTTATATTTCATTTTATGTGGCCTTCTTGTCACTTTAGGCAAATGAGAAACTGAGAGATGAAAACTTCAAGCTTGTAAGAGAAAACCAAAACCTGCGTCAGTGTCTTGTGACCAGATCCCCACATAAGTAAGTCATATTTTAGCTACAGCTCTGATTGAATGATGTTATGTTGACAAAAAGCTTAATCATTTATTTTATTTTTAATTAATCGATTAAAATTATAATTTTAAATATTTATTTATTTATTCATTTTTGCTTATTCAGGTATGGCCGCTACACAGTTGCTGCCCTGGAGTCGAAAGTGGAGGCCTATGAAAAAGAAATAAAGCAGCTACAAAAAGCTTTAAACAGGAGTGATGTATACACTGAAAGCTTAGAGAAAGAAATAGAACTTTTAAAGAAGGGTGGAGCGAACATTTCAGAAAATCAATTAAATATCCCCAAAAGTTCACTTAATTCCAACTTATCTGACCTTGAGGATAACTGTGTTGCAGTAGACTATGCAACATTGCCAGTCAGAGCAAGTGCAGTTCCAATAAAAGACAACACAGTTGGGGCACATTATTTTGACAGAGAAAGAAAAGTCGGACTTGCTGATCAAACCAGGCCTAGCTCTGTGAGTAATAACAAAGGAGAATCCAGCTCTTTGTCATATCTTTGGAAAAGTAGTGAGTCTGAAGAGGAAAATGCTGAGCACTCACCCAGCAGTTCATTTCAGTTTGAAGCTCCCAGTCCCCTGACCCCCTCCTCTCCTCTGTCACGACTTTGTATTGATAAGGCTGCCACACCCACTGGAACCCACTCTAGCCAGGAGTCTGGAAGGAGAACTGTGATTGAGAGGAATTTCACAGAGAATCAGCCAGATGGAAACAGTGCTAAAAAGAAACTAAAATTTGAGACCGACAAAGAGTTTTATACATCAAAAAGACCACAAGCAATGCCTAGTACATCAAAAGGTGCTGATGTGACACCTGTCACTGTAAAAACAAATTTAGGTCATTTCCTACCATATTCAAAGGCAGGAGGTGGATGCAAAACAGCATATCACATTGAGCAGGAGTCAAAAGTAACTGTATCTAGACCAGAAACAGGAACAAAACAGGAATCATGCATGGTAGGTGCAAAGAACAGGTTATCTGTAGGCAACAGTGACAATAAAGAAACGAACTCGATAAATACAAAGAACTTGACAAGTGACCAAGTAAAGCAGTTCAGAAATACAGAACCATTTGACTTCAGAGTTCCAACAAAAGCGAATGTACCAAAAAGTAGTAATTTGAACCAACCAATTGAGAGGAGACAACTTGAAAACCATTTTGATGAAACTCTTGATACTACAGCAGCCATTCAAAATGAAGTTGCTGATCTTGACATAACGCTGACCCCAGACTTAACGGACTGTCTGAAACTCCTGAAAAAAGCTGAGAGAAATATTCAGAATGTAAATCCTATAAAAGTTGATACCAGTGTTACAAATAGCATACCTACGCACAGGGAAGCGTACTACAAAACAAGCCAACCCGTCTTCAAATCCAGTTTTTCATCTTCCCAGACCTATACACAAAATTTGTACAATGAAAGAAATAGACCGAAGTCTGAGACTGCATGTACAAAGGTCAGTGATGTATCGGACATGGAAGCGACTCCTTCTTCATCCACAGATAGGCTGGAGATACGAGACAGAGGAGACCCAGTGTACAGACCAGGCTTTAAGATGGAAGGTTCAGCTATAAGGAGCAGCAGGCCACTTAGCAGACAGAGGAGTGACATACCAGTAGGTGAAAATTCTTCTGCTTCTACTGAGCAAAGGGAAATGGAGACAGGAACAAGTAGTGAGTTTCAGTGCCAAATTCTGGAGTATGGAAAACCAAGTACATACAGAGAACTTCACAGTCATGTCAGAAAGAGTACTGGGAGGCCCATGGCAGTTAAAAATGTTGATGGAGCTGAGGATGTAGATAGAATATTATTTAACAGCAGACTGTTACAGGAGGAAAGGAAGAGGTCACTTAGTGGAATAGATCCATTAAAGTCCAGCCCATCCAAGTCTAAAAAATCAAATGCCTGAGTGGAACAGGCTTTACATAACATAACATAGGCATCGAATGTCTGCAACTAGTTGCAAATCTAGGTCATGCAGACAAAGCTTTGGTATATTAGAGACAGACATTTGAAGGCCGAGCTGCTTCGCATGCTTTTAAAACAACTTAACTGGCCTTGATTACATAGAATGTAAAATATTCATAGACTAGAATATGTAGTCGATTTTTAATATCTAATATTGTGCCTCTACAAAATTTTGATAGACCTCCATTTTGAAGTACTTGTCATCTACATCAGGGGCGGATTGAGACTGCTTCTGGGTCTTCCGAAAGGTCATATTTTGAAGTTTACATTGACAGGCATCTATTTTTTCTGTCAGAAGAAGGTCAAAAATGGAGGATGGGTCAACAAAGATAATTTGGAAGACTGTCAGAAAATATCTCTGGATCCACCCCTGTACGTGATTACTTCACCTAAAAATACACATAATGTGAAGATTGTGAAATATAGCAGTTTCTTTAATTTGCTCCGGTACAAGTAGGTAAGTTTGGTCAAGCTGTGAAATGTAAATCTTGTATTTTGCTTACTTAAATGGGTAGCAATTACTTTGTAATGTACCTTTGAAGCACTGGAAGCACTTGCACAAGGAGTATGGTTTAGACCAAGTCCGTTAAATAGTATTTTACCATTATGCCATATAAAATACTTTTAATTTTTTTGTAATGGGTGCCTGGATTAGGGAAAATTGACAGTCTATCGAAACAGTTGTGATAAATATGGTTTATTTCACTTCAAAGGAAATTTTTATCTGCACAGAACATTCATTTTACATGGTACATGTTGAAAAACGGGATTTCCTTTGAAGGCCAAGAAAAATGTTAGGTCTATAGATTTAAGCACTAACATCAAACACGGATATATAAAGAAATACAATAGGATGTAACAGAAAAAAACCTGAAAAAATATAAATATATACAATACAGCTTTGGCAGTGAAAGCTGGTTGTTCAATCATAAATGCATAGATATAAGTTGATATCAGTTCATGATACTTACAACCTGTGTACACAATAACTATTATTTACACTTCTATTCTACAGTGCATTTGAGGCTACAAACACTTCCTTAATACAAGCATTCTAACACTATGTGCTCAACACGACATTCCACATCATAAGTATTATATTGTTTCCAAATTATCAAAATGTTTTGTAAACAAAGTGACGATTATCAAAGAAAATGAATCAAACTTTTCAAACATTTCAGTAAGTTTGCTTTTTAAAGCTGACACAATTGAACCGTATCTATAGATATCAGCTAGAAATATTGAAATGTTATAACAAAAAGTAACCTCTTTAATTACCAGTCAGATAAAGCTATTGAAATAAGTGTCATAGCGAATTAAATATTGGCAAAATGTGGCTGCACAATGGAGACGGTCTCATTATACTCATATCTATGACACTTCACTCTGGGGTCACAACAAACAAAATTTGCTGTCTTAATGATGTAAACAAATTGCTGTCATCTAACCGCTGCACATGACACATGCTTCCTTGTTCTGGAGAGAACACACCATGGCTGCCTCATTTTCCTCCCGAGTCTCCGTCTTTCCTTTGAGCTTTGTCTTGTCAACTGTGAACTGGATTGCACTGGCGGCTGCCTTCGTCCTCAAGTAATACATGCCCGTCTTCAAGCCCTGGAAAACAATCGGACAGTTTTGTATAAATCAGTTTTCATCCGATTAAAGTCTCACTCAGCTGTATAATGTTAATCTGTAAGAATTGATGACATTTTTTCTAATACAAACCAGTTTCTAAGGAACATGTTATCTATCAGTGTTTCATTCATATAAAAAATACATTAAAAAATCCAAATACTTGGCCTCCTACCTTCTTCCATGCAAAGAAATGCATACTGGTCAACTTCCCATAGTTAGGATCAGCAATGTGGACATTAAGAGACTGACTCTGGTCAATATATGCACCCCTGTCAGCTGCCATCTGGATTATATTCTTCTGGGAGATCTCCCACACTGTCTTATACAACTGTTTGATATCATCTGGAATGCCTTCTATGTTCTGAAAAACAAGATATCTTTTAAGTACATGAAAGATGACACATTCCGTAAGTCAGTTGATGTCAATGAGATATTTTGTCCACATAATAATAACAAATTTATAGCTGCTTAATTCAAGCCATAAAAGAGGGGCTTGTTCCACCAAACATTTTTTCTGAACAAAAATGTTTTAAAAACAATTTTTACGTATTAACATTTCAATGGAACGCAACATTGAGGGGAAATAACTACCTGAATAGAACCAACATTCAGCTTACCTGAATAGAACCACCATGTGCTATCAGCTGGTTCTTCACATCGTCATTCCAAAGGCCTTTCTCTGTCAAATCCTTTAACATGTGCTGGTTAACAACCTGAGAATGGAAGAAATTGACTTTTAAGGATGTTTAATCTAAAGAATTGGATGTAAAAGACATCTGATACTCTTATTATGGTAGGTATAACTGTTAACATCGAGACAGTCCTAGGAGACTTTTCTGTTAAAAATGCTTTAATTTTCAACTCACAGCAGATCTACAATTCATGAGAGAACAGGTTGGTGAAGACGAGAGGCCTTTATGTCAAGTCCTTGAATGTTACTGGGAGTAAAACCTAAGAAAACTGGGCTCAATTCAATTAAGGACATTTTAGGGCAACTTTTAAAATATTCTTCTGAAAATTTTCCTTTTTGATCTGGTTCAAAAATTTTTTTTGTCTAAAATCATCTGGCAATAAGACTCAAAATGTAAAATCCTTTAATGCTCTGAAAGTTTAAAAAATCCTCGTCTGCACTTCCCAGAGGGAGTCTAGACAAACTAACCTGGAATTCTCCAGAGAGCACCCTCCTTGTGTAGAGGTTGCTGGTGTATGGCTCTATGGACTCATTGTTACCAAGGATTTGTGCTGTAGAAGCTGTGGGCATGGGGGCCAGCAACAGGCTGTTCCTGACTCCATATCTACAGCAAAATTACAGATAGTTAGGACAGGGACTGGAGAAGATGCCATAAAAATTCTTATTCTCCCCTCCTCCAAATCCCCCCATTTAATAACATTTAATTCAAAATTCAGCAACTTTCCAAACAATTTTGAAATACACCTTAAGGAAAAATACTGCAAAAGGACAACAAGCTCCATCCCCTACTACATGTGAACATTTTTTTCTTTGCGTTGTTAATGCTGAAATGATTTATAAAACTTTAACAAACTTGACCGAGTTTGATCACCAACAGGGAAAATAACAAGTTTTCTATTCTTTAATGACTGACATAAAGGAATAATAAAACAATGCCAGAAAATCATAAATATATAATAATCTCAGTAATTAAAATTGGAGAGATAACCAGTGAAATCAAATATTCTATTGTTAAAAACTTAGTTATTTGAGCGCTTACTTCTTGATGTTTTCCCTAAGAGTCTGCCAGTCCAACCTGTCTGTATCTGCTACATCCCACATATCATGCTGAAGGATCTAAACAGAAAACAGGGCAATGTTTAATTACCTCATCTTCCTGACATAGGCATAAACAATATTTGAAACATATGAAAAACTATAAACAATGCAAAAAAGACATTACCCAAAATTGTACATGTATATGTCCTAAAGAAGGCAAAACAAGTAAGCAAATGTGCAAAAAAAGACAAAAATCACTATTGTGACACATCCATCCTTTATCAATGTAAAGCAACTTTTAAACTGATGAATAAAAAACAAATAATCAGTTCACACTAATAAGGAGCCTAATTAATGTGTACTGCTTACCCCTTTACTAACTGGGGAACCTTGGTAAGTTTCATAGGGTCCATACTCCTTCGCCAGCTCACAACTTGCTGTCAAGGCAGCAAAGTAGATGGTCTCAAAGATATCTTTGTTCAATTGCATTGCTTCTGGACTGTCAAACGGATAACGCATAAGAATGAAGGCGTCATGGAGACCCTGCACACCAATTCCAATGGGGCGGTGACGGAAGTTGGATTTTTGAGCCTGCATTGGAAAAAGAGCAGCGTTAATATATATGAAAGTTATGTCTGATAATATATTACATGAAAAGTAATATGATGTTCCATCTACACAAATGCCTCACTATGCTGAAGGCATGTGTAATTTGTTCTTTGTTCAGTTTTATCCCTTCTAATCTAAATTCATTTGCCAAAGCTAGGTTTACTCTAAGACTACTAAAAAGTAATTTCAAACGTCAGTTTTATCTTACTAAGATTAAAGAGAAGCTAGGATCATAAATCTCAAATAACTATAGTTATTATTTCAGAAACCTTACAAAAAGGCCTTAGAAAGAGCAAAAACTTTAAGCTTTTCTTTAGCCAGGCATTACTGAATACGTGTGACATTTTCTATGCTTCAAATATCTTACCTCTGGCACTGGGTAAAAGTTGATGTCTATAATTTTGTTGAGATTCTTAGTGACAACTTTAGTGACCTTTTCCAATTGCTGGAAGTCGTATGTTCCATCCCCCTTCACAAATCTGTTAAGGGCTATTGAGGCAAGATTACACACTGCAACCTGAAACACAAATTACTACTAGCAGCAACAGTTATAATGTATTTTTCTTTCCCTACTTGCCTTTCTTTATGTTTATCTAGAACACTAAAATGGCTTAAAATGGAAATAATATTAAGTACACCCTAGAATGGAAAGAAGATTATAGTATTTTATACAGCATAAAATTATACCTTCAAACTCAGTGGACAACCTGACAGTGAAAGTCAATAAACTCACCTCATCAGGGCTTGTGTACTCTACAATCTCTGTGCACAAGTTACTACACTTGATGGTTCCCAGGTTCTGCTGATTGCTCTTCCTGTTACACGAGTCCTTGTACAGCATGTAAGGTGTGCCTGTTTCTGTCTGGGACTCTATTATGGCATACCACAGCTGCTGGGCCTGGATTGTCTTGCGGCCACGGCCCTCTTTTTCATAGCTGAATTAACAACACAATTTTCAGTAGCAAATTTGTGAGGTGACAGTAATTTCATTTTTTAATACATTACAATGTGTGAAATACTATAAATTCATAACAAAGACTTAAAATATTACATACCAGTACATTTTTGAGTGCTTTAGAGAATTCACCAGTCTTCACAAGGCGCCATATCTCAATACTTTTTCATCCCAAAGGTGCAACTGGGAAAATCTTACCTTTCATAAAGTTTCTCAAATTCCTCTCCCCAGCAGTCTGCCAGACCAGGACACTCATTGGGACACATCAGCGTCCACTGTCCATTCTGTTCCACACGTTTCATGAACAGATCTGGGATCCAGAGGGCATAGAACAAATCTCTGGCACGCTGCTCTTCCTTTCCAGTGTTCTTCTTGCAGTCCAGGAAGTCAAAGATGTCGTTATGCCAGGGTTCCAGGTAGATGGCAAAGGCTCCAGGACGCTAAAATGAACGCGTTTGATTGTGAGTTATGATACATTTTCCTGTGGCAGTTGACTGGGCTCACACAAACTGATGGCAGATTTTAACTGAATCAAAAATTTAAACCAGGCCAAAGAAGAAAACTGAAAGAAAAAAATTATACGTATATTTATATGTTTAACCTGTGCCTAAAATTCAATGTGTCACAGCTGTTAGGATCAAAGAAATATAAGTCTACATTTAGACAGGGACTAAAGAAGTCAACTGGATTTTTCCTTTAAAAAAAAGCTATGGCATTCCTTCCTCCAGTAAACATGACCAAGCAGCACCTCTTACCTTGTTCCCTCCCTGGTCTACATAGCGGGCAGTGTTGTTGTACACCCTCAACATAGGAAGAAGGCCATTGGACTGACCATTGGTCTAATAAATGATAGAAATTTTCTTACATAATTTTGAATTGGAGTTTAAATAATAAATGGAAAAAATAATTTGAATAAATATCAAAAAGAGCTTTCCTTAATAAGGATAGATATAGGATAAAAATTTAAGCAGCAACTAAAAAATAGTACTTGACAACATGAACTGTTGTAATTAACTAAAAGACTTTCACCAATTCAGCAATAAAATCTTTCAACTATCATTTTGTTTTATAATCAAATACTGGATAAGCAATCAAAAAAATCTACTAGAAAAAAAAATCTACTAGAAAATATGAACTGTTGTAATTAACTCAAAGACTCTCATCACTTCAACAATAAAATCTCTCAATTATCATTTTGTTTTTAAATCAAATACTGGATAAGCAATCAAAACAAAAAACCAAAAAAATTACTAGAAAAAAAATTTTTTTTTGACCAACAGCTCAGCTTACCCCTGCAATATAGCTGCCAGTGGACCTGATGCAGTGTACTGCCAATCCTATCCCTCCAGCAGACTTGGAGATGAGGGCACACTGCTTCAGTGTGTCATATATACCCTCAATACTGTCAGAGTGCATACACAGCAGAAAACAGCTGCAAGCAGATGTCCAATGTTAAAATCAATAAGAAGTTAGAAGAAACAATATTGTCACTAAAAACGAAATAAGAATGCAAAATATATAAGATTTATCAAACCTCCTTTACTGTTTCACACATACAAAGGAAAACCTCAAAAATGAGAAAAATCCCTGAATGAAATTTGAGAAGCAAAGTGAGAACAGCTCACCTAGACAGTTGTGGTCGATTTGTTCCAGCATTGAAGAGCGTGGGTGATGCATGAGTGAACCATTTTTCTGACAGCAAGTCATAGGTCTGGAAATAGAAAGACATAAGAAAACATACAACAGTACGATCAGCTTCACTGAAAAACACATTCTAGCGCATAAACTTCTTGCCATAGCTTTAAATTTGCTCAACTAAAGAAAAATAAATTTTTCTAATTCATCATGTATGTCTTCAACATTCACTAATCTAATGAATTCCATCTTTTTGGCCAAAATGGGCCACACAGTGAGACAAGCATGCCCACCATGACCAACTGAGAATACCAAATTATGATTGATTGTCTGTAAATAAGAGGAGTTAATATATAAAGTTATATATTTCTTTACCTCAATGACTGCATCAATGTCATCCCAGTGGATGCCAACAGCCACCCTCATCAGCATATGCTGGGGACGTTCAGCAACTGAAAATAATCAAAGAGTAATACTAAACAAACTTCAATTTCACATAAAATAAATATATTCGCAGTTATCTTTTTGGATACATTTAGCATAATCATAGATGACTATCTATCATTATAGATCAAAGAAAGACATTAAAACAATACAGATTGACTATTGAAAAGATGCCAGGTCGACACTGGTCTTAACTTGTGGCATGCTTACCTTTCCCATTTATCTTCAGTAAGTAAGATCTTTCCATCGTCTAAATATATAATAAAAATATGAATAATAAATGAAAAAATTCAATGACTATTCTATTAATTTTTTCCAAAGAATTAAAGGTTTGCAGAACCTCTTTTACAGTCTGCAAGGAGATAGGTAGAATTTATTACAGAGTTAAAGAAATATCAGGTATTATTTCTACATCAAATTTTCATAAGCACTGACCTTGAAGCCAAAATAGTTGTAGTTATAATCCCTGTCATACACAATGGCAGAGTTCAAACGCTGGAAGACAAAATAAAAAATATCAAACCAGTCTAACAAAGCTACAAAAAAAAAAAAAAAAAAAAATGCCAAAAACCCCTTGTTGGTTGATTCTTACAATTAAGACAAAAAAACTTTTTAAAAGAGACCCAACAATTGACCATACCTTGAATTTAAAAACACAAAATCTTTGAACAGGTATTGCACCCATACTTTCATCCATCAAAATATGTGCAGTATATTTAAATGGTGAATGCTTACATCTGCATTCTCCTGGACAATGTCTCTGAGTTTCTTGGACACCATAGGGGAATGGGTCTTGTTCCTTGGATTGACCCAATTGTATAGATCTTCTGTCACCTCTGAAACAGGAGAAAAACAGTTTTAAGTTTTGAGGTTAACCAAGAAGTTTTATGTTTTAAGCATAAAAGCTATCTTTGCCAATATTAGATAAGAGGATTTTTTAAAAAGTTAATAAAACTTTGACAAATATGACCTCCATAAAATGAGTCGGGTTCAGTAATCCAGTATTAACCAGAAGACACTAGGAAAATGTGTATTAAAAATTATTTTAAAAAAGGTTGAAATAACTGCTCATGCTCAAAACTTATCAGCTGCTTAATACATTCTGGACATAACCAAAAATTTCAACTTACAGAGCCATGAGCAGAGACCAGGGAAGTATTGGTCGACAATGCTCTCGTCTTAACTAATAAGGATTTTCAAATCTCAAAACCCCGATAAAGGTAAAGCTGCAGTTTGGGCAATCCCACAATACCTTAAACCTTTGTATTTTTAGTCTTTTCTAGTTCAAAACTTTAGGGGAGGCAAAATGATTAATTTATATACATACTTGTCATAGGACAAGAAGAGCTAAATAAAGTTTAATAGGGAAAATAACTTGGGGAAGAGGTAATACATATGTGGAATCTTCTACTTACCACTGAATACTTTTTTCGTCTCCTTGTGTAGGTTAGAGACAGCAATCCTCGCAGCAAGAATGGCATAGTCTGGGTGCTTGACCGTCATGGTGGCCGCAGTCTCAGCAGCCAGATTGTCCAGTTCTACTGTGGTCACTCCAGGGTACAGTCCACTGATCACCTTCAGAGTGATAGCAGTCTGAAGACAAAACAAACAGCGACTTCATTATTTGAATGATGAAAATCCAGACTGTATCTGTATTAAATTCATACCAAAGTTAAGTTTCTGTCAAATAACCCTATAACTACAAACATATAATACCTGTGCTTAACAAACTGTCAAACAAGATTAAAATATTATAGACACTGTTGTCAAGAACAGCTTTAGTCTTGTTGCAATATAATCTTCATGATTATTTTCAAACCTTATAAGTAAGTTTCTATTCAAGAAAATTAATCTTATAAGAAAGAAATGGTATAATACATGTAACAGATTTTCTGAATTATCATTTATCATTTTATGAAAAAAATTTTGTTCAATGCAATATAAGTAAATTGCATTTTCAAATTTGAATATTGACACATTTTTCAAAGAATCTACAATATAAGTTCCATTTTCAAATTTGAATATTGACACATTTTTCAAAGAATCTACAATATAAGTTGCATTTTCAAATTTGAATACTGACACATTTTTCAAAAAATCTATGTCTAAGTCAAGATATGTCCTCCAACACAAAGATGACCAATGTTCTGATTATGAACATGTCATATTTTCTACCTTCAATTCTGATCAAACTTATTCAACAAAATTAACATATAAACAAACATATAAACAGCAATACAAAGTTACATCAAACATTTATATCGATTCCTGAGCCAGAATTTCGGTTTCGAAATCAAAGTGCTTTGTTTACGTTCTCTGGTTTGGCGCCAAATCGGCATTTCTTTTTCAAAACTGTTTATTACCTAAATGCCAATTTATGAGTAAACACGTTTGAATATTTCGACATTTCTTACCGGGTCAACAAAATCTGGGTTCAACCCATAGCACAACTTTGAGATCCTAGACGTGATTTTGTCGAAGTGAACTTTTTCTTCGCGACCTCCTGCAAAAGGAAGAAAGCAAAAGACGTGAAAATTTTCTCAAGTGTTGTTATCAACGGTATAAATTTCATAACAAATGCTTCTAACAATATAGAAATATGGTTTTGTTATTGATCTTACCTCTTTTGCTCACGTACATCTTGATCTTTGAAGTGAAACCAAAGAAAAACTATGAAGTAAATTGAGAAAGCTAACTGATCAGCTTAAACTCAGCGCCAAAGTATGGTCACCTGACACAAAATTTGCCGGGAAATGAAAGGTCACAGGTCAAATCAAGAAGTCTTCCGACACCAATTTTAGCTGTTTTATAATCCAAATACCTCATATTCTATTTATTTAATAATTAAAATTCGTTTAAAATGCCAGTAAATGCTATTATTGTACTAATGAAGTCTGATATGTTGGTTGGTAATGACCATGTGTTAAGCTTGTCTTTTGCACCTGCTTCTTTGCTGACCTCTATCGACAGAGCCTACGACAGGTGATTTGCATAACAAGAATGCGCGACAGGTAACAGTCGGGTTTTCAAAATGGCGATTTTAAGGAAGTGTATGTGTTGGACTGTTCAAGACGGCGCGTGGGTCTCGGCAGTATGGACATTAGTGAGTATTTTCTCGTCCTGCATATTTTTCAAAGCCTTGCGTTGATATTTTGGCGGTTAATTTGCCTGCGACTGCTGTGTTTGATGAGAAAAAGCCCACCTGTTGACGGAGCATTCTCTGCATGTTTTATAGGTTACAAACATTAAATTAGTCATCAAGTATTGCCAATGGTGTCATTCAGGGACATTTTCTAATTTTTAGAAGTAATTAAACTAATAATGCAGATATTAAGCTAGGTTAACGTATTATTTTGTGTAAACTTCGTCAACTTTAATGCAGAAGATGAATTAATTTATCTACTTTTCTTTGAATGCTAAATGCTAACTCTACATAGAAATGTTACCCCATTAACACTGTTTTGGCTGCGCCACCTTGACTGAATTTCATCTGTTCTAATTTTATTTAGTATAAATTGTGGGTTTTTATGTAGAACTTTCTAAATTGAAAATATGGATAGAACAAAAATAAATAAATAAATAAACCCCCCTTGCAATTAAAAAACTTTTCTGTGTTAAAAAAATGCTTGATTATATTAGGCCTACATGTTTAGTGGTCTTACAATCATTTAGTTCTGTATGATTTCATTAAATTAATGGTCAATATTTATCTTTTAATGAGATTTGTCTCCGCTTGTCTCATCTGATTATTCATATAATTTCAACTTTTTAAAAAATAGGCCTGTCATATTTTATCAAATATGCACTTTTTCTTTCTGAATGATGGCATTGGCTTTTTTCTTCAACTTTTTAAGAAGAGAAACAGTTAACCATAACACTTATTGTACTACATGTATAATGCTTTATTTCAAAATAGATATATGTGGTATTCATAATCTTCTTGCTTAATATTAACACACACACACACACACACACACACACACATAAAGCGTTATCTGTAGGATTCTCCTACCCTATCCACATCACTTTTATTTTCTTTATTCTACATAGTATTGTTTAAGAACAACTTAGGATTTAGATTTATAACACATTTGCAATTTAAACAATTACCGAAGTTGCAAATGTATTGAATGTCAGTATTTAAATTAATATTGTTTTTCTCAGGTCACTTCAATCATCTCATTTATCATGTTCTTCGTGGACCTGGCAGACTTTGCAGGGAAAAGCTGGGGACTCCCACAATGGCCCTTTGCCTTTGATGTGGACTGGAGGATGCATGTGTGGAAAGGTAAAAATAAAAAAAAATTAAAATAGTAGATAATATAGGAAATGAAATTTACAGATGCATTTTTAAGTCAAACTTTTGTCACAAAAGCTGACCAAATGCCACCAAATGCCAGAGAACATTGTTTTATGTAACCCCAAAAATAATATTTGAAAGGATGTTTTCTGCTTATTTTCTGTGCTGTATATAACTGGGGCAGATAAATAGGTCAGATAAGTAAGTCAAAATTTGAAAAAGGTGCAGTTTTAAAGCTCCTTATTGCTGATAAAAAGATTAACTCAGGTTATCCCTTGGCATGCAAACTTTATTTGAGTCGTATAAGAAACAAGTAGAGGTCGTTTGTTTGTTCTTGGGAAACCACTTTTTAAATATTTGTGTAAAATTTGTTTCAAAAATTAATAACTGATAAGGTAATACCCAAGCTCAGTTTTGAAAAAAGTTCATAATGCTGTGGGAACATCGAGTCATAATTTTCGTTAATTATTCTTTTTTCAGGATTTCTTGCTTGTGACATTGTGATGTTAGTTGCCAATATACTGCTAATAATGGCCGCAGCTTTAGTAATGCATGGGTTGAAAAAAATGGTGAGTAAAAATTGGATTTCACGTCTAGGTTAAAGACTGACTTCAATGGTATTTAAATGTTTATCAATCTGAAAACACAAGTATTTAACTGAAATGGTAGAGTAATATTTCACTGTAATGGTAGAAAATACATTTAGAAGGTAATAAGTTATTAAATTTTGATTTAATTTAACTATTTTTTTTACATTATTTTTAAGTCTTGCTCTTACTTTTTCAGACAATAGATCGTGCCATCCTTGCATGTAAGTGGTTCTGTGTAATCATGGCCCTGTACGAGCCAGTAGAGCTAGGTATTGTGATATACATGTTCTCCTGGTATGGAGCTAATATTTGGGTAAGTGAATCAAAAAGGAACTAGAAAAGCACTCAGAGAACACACACATCCACCAACACAAATAAGTAAATTATTAATAGATCATCACCAACATCTTATGACTTTTAAGTTAGTGTGTTCCAGACCATCTTGAAAATTTCTGCCTATCTTGAAAATTTCGTCAAAATCAAGTCATAACTTTGAGTTAGGCTGGTGATGATCTGAACAAACAAATAAACCAAGGTGAAAACATAACCTCCTTGGCATAGGTAAAATACATGCTTGTGTCTGACATAACTTCTCTGATCCCTGTGTTATATTGTGATTTATAAATGAATTTTTGTTTATTTGCCTTTTTAAAGAGAAATGGGCATAAAACATCGTATGTAGTCATAGAATTGTCATAAGCAGTGCTTATATTTATATAGAGTTCATACCTTAGACTTTTTTGGAATACCTATGAAATGGAAATTATTTTTCATGGACAACTTATATCTGACAAACTGTTTTTTATTGTGTGATTCATGTTGCAGAAGTGTTGTACAATGTTCAGCTAATGATTTCTTTTCTTGACACTCCAGAGGTTTGTGTGGCAGGTCTGGTGGTTCATGTTCTGGCTCATCAGGTTCTTTGTAAATGTAAGTATTGAGATAAAAACTCTACTTTTTTGTTTGCTAGCACCGGGGCTTCCAAGCAAATTTTGTTAAAACCTTTAATCTGTTAGAAGTTTGGCCATAATTACCAAATATTTTTCATTCTTAATTTATAATTAATCATCTACAGGATTAAAGAAAAGATATATGTTGACATGGGCTTATAGATACAGCAGCATCTGCATTCAGTGAAGTTTGATGAGCTCCACTCAGTTTACATTTTTAAAAATTTTTTTTTCAATTTCATCTTCTCATATGTTTATTGTGGCAGTTTTAGTTTTTTCTTTCAGTATTTTAGGCTTCTGTCTCCCCCTCCTCTCATTTGATAAAGATTTGTTTATCTGAATATATTTTAGTGCTTAATGAAATTAAATATCCTAAACTTAATTTAAATATCTAAGAATCTTGATATAAGTTTAAATGTTATGAAAAAATTTCCACAGAAAGCTCAGTTCAAAATAGAAGAAAATTTCAGTGCTAGCACTTTCCTGATATTTTCTTGGCTTTAAATTCTTTGTATTTTTTAAAACTGATTTAAGGATATAGAATCAAATTAAATTAATTTTTTAATTACATTCTTTGCATGATTTTTTTACTATTGTATGTTGATAACCATTTTAGATATTAATGTTCATAAAAATTTTGTTTGTCATCATTTTAAGGAGTTGTTTGTGATCTTCTGAGCTACCTTGCCTCAAAATTCTTCTAGATTTCTGATTCAGATATTTGTGGAGTCATTCTGAGAATTTAAGTTCTGAGCCATGGAATTCTATTCAGAGAGGGTGGAATTACCCATCTTTTACCCTCTGGTTGTATACAGTTTGTCCATATATTATGTACAAATATTTTGTACACCTGAAAATAAATTGACACAAAAAGACAGTGTTTCTGCATGCTACTTACTCGTTAGCAGTGTGGCTTTAGTAGATAGTAATTCTGGTCACTAATTTCTCTATCAATGTATACCTGGCCGGAAAAAAATATTGTAAACCTGTTTCCAAGATTTTTGATATTTTAATGTGCAACTTTATGTTGCAACAAAAACAAGTGGGTGTTTTAATAATTGTCTTTTCTTTTCTCTGCCATTGGCTGCACTGAAATTAATTACTACAGGGTTAATGTTTGTCATTAGTGGCATGAAAAGCTCATTTGAAGATTTCTCTGGACATTTCATGGAAAAGTTGGCCCATGTATGCATTGATGGGATATTAAAGAAAGGAGTGTCTAATTTAATACTGTGTGCTGGTTATATATAGCTTTTTTAATTCTTATCATTTACTTCCATTTTCTCAATAGTTGGATTTTTGCACACTTATTTCTATTTCCCCAGCTATTTTTTCTGGCTTCTGTTAAAGCTTTATACCCCTGTCACTCTAATTCAATCCTTCAGAGTTGGGATTTTTCATGGCCAAGGCCACATTTCACGTACTCGGTTGGTGTAAATGGAGAGAAAAAAAACAGACTGAGGGGTGTTATTTTGCTTTCTCACATGCAGTTGCCCTAGGAATAGAATTCTGTGGTATTCAGCACTTATTTAAAAAAGATATCCAAACACTTGATGAGCAATTAAAAATCCAATAAATAAGCTTTATGGATTATTTGTACTTTTGGTTTTCATTTTAAAATGCGTATCATTTTTAATAAGACAAAAGTTTTGGTTGTGATGATGAAACAAAACACCTTTTAGCAATAGTGCAAGTAAAATAAAAAAAAAGATGCTCAGAAAAACTGACAAAAGGCAGATCGTTTTTACCACTTATGTCAGCCTTAAAATTTCTTGGCAGGGCAATTGGTGAAGTAGACATTAACTCAGTAGAAGTCAGCCACTAATCTTGCAATAACCCACTTGTGCTGAATAGTGTTTTTTCCACTGCTAAATATGAAACCTTGGTAAAGGAATCAATAGTATTGTTTCACTCCCACCCTTAAAAAGGCAAACATATTACAAAGTCCCTTGCATGAAACACGCACCACTTTGCTGATTGAAGAATTTTTGTTTCTGACAAACTTGAACTTTGTCATGTAGAATGCAAAATATTTTAAGTAAGGGTAAACTTGCAATTGATTTTCCAAGCCAAGGTTTAAACATTTTACACCTAAAATGTAACAAATGGGCCAATAGTGCTTTCTGCTTCCCAGGTTTCTCATCTTTTTAGCTTTAGCTAATTATAAGTTTTTTATGTCCTTCTAATTTCTTCTGTGTATTTCACTGTCATTACGCTGTCTTTTTGTGTTGTTATATTTTACAGATTTTTGCTGCATTATGTATCTACTCTCGTGCCCAAGAACTAATGTACGACATAGCTTTTATGTACGGGGAGGAACCAGAACATAGGGGCCCGGAAATGGCGCCACTCACACTGGAAATGAAAGTCAATAGAATGACATCCTCAAAATGTTAACACTTTGAATAGTATGAATGCTTCCAGCTGTTGCATCTGTGATGCAGAAGCTCACAAACATTGCTATTTTCTTGGACTTGAGTACTGTGCAAGGTCTAAAACTTAAACAAATTTTCTCCAGCTGGGGAATGTTTGGGACTTTTCACAATGATGCCTACTGCTGACTTCTAATCCGCAAAACAGCAGTCTACTTATAAACAAATTGTAAAGGGTCTAGTATACAAGGTCACTGCCTGAGTGAAATTTTACTTTTATATTTTTATGTTGAGTTCTGTCGTTAGAATGCTAATTTTTTTATTTACCAAGCAAGAAAGTAGCTGTTGCTTTAAAATTGAATGAAACATTCCTAGTACGGTAATGGCTTGAGCATTTCAACCAGGAAAAATAAGTTTTTCAGGTACATAATTTTGGAATCACTAAAAATACATTTCTATGTAGCATTTTGGTGCTTTAACTATATAGAATACAACTATAATGTTGTGTATTTTTTAATTGTGCTGCTACCACTAAATAGGAACGTTCTAATTTTAAGAATTTATTCCTTAAAAATACAGCATCTGTAAAATTCACAATTTTCCCAGTTGAAATGATCAAGCCATTACCATTGTAATCAGACCCACACATTTTACTCCAAGACTCAAGTGAGACCCATATTATGACCTTAAATCATTGCCATGTTTTTTTACTATTTTTCACCTCACAGATTGTAGCTGCCCTATGTATTTACTCTCGAGCCCAGGAGTTGACTTATGACCTGAAATACGGATCACAGGACCTGAATGGATACTTTCCGAGTACATTTGAAATGGGGGTCAAGAACCCTGGCTATAGCTATGCATAGAGAAACTGGTAATATGTACTTTAGCAACATGTTAAGGTTATGAGATAAATCAATGTCCCAGTTAAAACATGTAAGCAACATGGACTACCTTCTGTCAGTGACATTGCTTTCTTTAATTATTTTTTCCCTTTGAAATCTCAAACTTATCAATTTTTTGTTAGAAATAGTCAATAAAAAATACTGGGCTCTTTGGTTCATGCACTTGTTGCATTGTTATCAGTGACAGTTAGGGAAGTTTCTGTTGCTCTGCTACCATTATTTGTTTGTTGCAACTAAAAATTGAATTTCCATGAAAGCTTGACAACATCATCTAATTTACTCACTCTTTATCTGTTTCTGTGTGCCATTTCTTGTTTTGACATAACAAATCATACTCAGTTGAATAGACCAAACTAAAATAAGGATTAGAAACTGAAAGCTAAAACTTGAGGCATAATGGCAGTGGAATAGTTACATGTTTTTAGTATAATTTCAATGTTGAGGTCCAAAAAAAAAACAAAATCTTCTCTCTTAATGTGTTAAAAAACCACTTTTTAAGTGAAAATTGTGAATAACATTTTCAGAACAGACACAGTTGAGACACAAAATAGATGGTTCAGAATCTCACTGATAAATTGACATTCCTTTTGTTGTGATTAGTTACTGGAAAAAAGGTTGCGAGTAAGGTCTATGTTTCTCTTTGGGTGAATTAGTTCTTGCATACACTGAATAGTTACATCGCTATGTACATGTGTATATGTGTCATCAGAATATGGAATGGATTCATTGTGCCACTAACAAATTTCTAACAGGTATGAAGGTGGAATGGTTAAATAGGTAAATATTCCATCTGTATACTAGTTTATACTAGATTGTTATTGCTACAGTGAATCTGTACTCTTTTTTTGCATAGGTTTAAGCCTGTTTCAGGGAGAGGGTTATCAAGTTGAGAGATATCACCTCTTGTCATTATCATGCATAGGACTTGGAAAAGAAAAATGTGTATAGATTGAATTAAGTAGTTAATTAATAAGAAACTTTTGTTTCATAACTTTGTTTAGAGTAGGGTGAAAAGCCACAATAATTTTAGCGTGTTATTGTTAAAAAGCCTTTGCCATTAGTTCACAGACATTTCTGCATTTTGATACAATTAAATTGTACATTTCTGTGTAAATCCGCTATCTGTAGATAATGTAGGATATTTTTTTTACTGCCTCTTATATTATATATGGGATGATGGAATGATGGCCATTTTGTATATATTCTTTATATGCTGTACATCTTAGAAGAGTATATATGCTTTTTAACAAAACGTTGGTTGTGACTCAAAATATTTTACTCAGAGAAAACAGCACCTACAAAGGTTGCGGACGGTGCTTTTATGTTGTAGAATATGTCAGGTGATCTTAAAGGACCGCAAACTTGTTTTTGTATGCCTTATCGGCAACAAACTATTCCAAGACTCGAATGCAGATGAAATGAAATTTTATGTACATTTAAATACTTTCAAATTTGAAAAATAATAAAACTTGTTTTTAGATTAACACTACTGGTACTTGAATTGATCTGTCAGTATTTGGAAAATGTATGTGTTTCTCAACTTTTCCTTGTCCTCTTGGTCAATATTACGCAAGCTTGCAGACTTCCTTACCCAACAGTCTATCCATCACAGTTTTTCAAAAGTAAAAGGTCTAGTTTCAACCCCCTATTGATCTTATATCAGTAAGTATAACGACAGTATTGAGCTATTGTCTTTATTGCTGCTAATTGATATCAGAATTATGAAAAAAATCTAGCAAGGTGAACATTACTCGACCATTAAAAAAATAACTGGCACAGTTTGAAAGGAAAACATCGATGGAAGGGCAAAATGTATATTTTGGCACGAAAGAATTTCCAAAATAAAAATTACTCGAGTGGAAGAACGAGCGCTTGTTGTGATATCTTTTAAGGTGGAATCTGTTTCAACTTTAGTTTGTTGTTCAGGTCATACCAGTTTTAGCGCACACCGTTGCTGACTTCAGTGTTGTTTGAAATACTAGTATTTCAATGCACCAATTTTTTATGTGTATATTAATGTGACAGATTTCCGGATTATTTCATTATGTATTATTCGAATTATTAATTATGGCTGCCACAGTTCGAATTATAACTAAAAAGCTAGTGATTTCAAAACAAATCACATATGTAAAAATATATATATATATTAAGCAACAGCTATCTATTCATACTAGAAAGTACCAATCGATAAACAACTTCCTCCTACTAGAATGCGAACAACAAAAAGAAAGGTGTATCTTTTATAGGTTTGCAAATCCATTCATTGGTCTGCCACGTCCCCTCTGTCTCCATTTACATAAATCTATGAAATCATATTTGCCGTAGGAGCAGACAGAAATGTCTTTAGAACCAGTCATCGCGGAGCCTGGCACGCCTCCTCCCACCCCCTTGTCTGTCGCACTCGATACACTGGCTGAGCGTAGCGTGGTCGCCGGGACAACACCAGCACGAGTATAGCGTTATCTTGTCACCCAGCACACGGGAACACGTCTGACAGTTGTTGAAGTGAAATTCCCTAAAAAGACGCATGGTTGACTTGAATTAGGGACATTTTAATAATTGTGGAGAATACATGACTTTAACAATACTCTTAGTTAACGCTACATCGTATCTTCTCCGCCAACCCAGTCCCAAAGAAAAAAAGAGAAAAAGATAGAAGAAAACGTAATGCTCTTTAATATCCAACTGCAAGTGACACTGATTCTATTTCGTTCTCAATTACCTCAGTTGGAAAAACCGTTCCCCCGAACACGGTGTAGTGTAGCCCAATACAAGTTCAGGGACCCTGTTTCCGGGGCACGAACTGCCTTGTATCGCCTCCAGACGACCCAGGTTCGGCCTGTATCTGGAGCGGGAGCCTGCGTAATGAAAACAAGGTTTGAGGTAAAACACACCTTCATGCCTGAAGATATTACTTCCCTTTTCGGCGTTTCCTTACTTGCAATAAGAAGTAGGAACAAGCTAGTCAAAAGGACAGGCGTCCGTACGTAGGAAGACTGACAATACATGACAATATAATACCAGTTTTAGGCCTTGACACCTAGCTCCAATCTTCTACTGAAATACATGGCCAAAATTATTGAAAGAAATGTTTAAGTCATAAGAATAACTCATGGTAGTTTGAGATTGCTAAGTAACATTTTTTTTCTTTGTGGTGTGTACAAAATATTTAAAACGTATTGTTACTACGGACATTCACAGAGTTTCTGTCCCATGTGACTTCCAAGTAACACACTGAAAGTGCCAATGTTTAAAAAAATAACCTGCATAACTCCAAGAAAAATATCCCAATCTTTTTTAGTAAAATTAAAGTAACACTTATACTTAAGACGTGAAATATATAAAGGACCTAGTTTGAAATCGCTAAACATAGAACGCGCTCTGAAACCATCTGTATAATGTCACGTACACTTTTACGTGGGTATTAACTATCATATAGGCCCCTTTTAACCATTTTACGAGTGCTACATAGCTCGATCTTCACACAATTTCCTCTGTTCTGTCACCGAGTCCACATTCGCATTACGAAATGCTCTCTACTACCTTAACATTTTGTTCAACAATGATGAAGTACAATACGAAAAGACAATTAAAAAGAACACTCGGCTAATTGTATTGTTGAGTTTTTTCTTTTTTCTTTTTTTTCGTGCGTCTTGTCGAATAAGAAACAAAGGACCCCAGATCGTTTTCGTAGGTAGTCAAAAATGCGTAAAAGAAAACGCTATCATACGTAAAGCAGTCAACTTTGAGTATGAAGAAGGCGTAGTGCGTTCTTGCATCAGCGCTTTGTTTCTACTGGAAAATTAGGTCAATTTCAAGATTTGGCTAACACCTACGGTTTTTAATTCCTACAATTTTATTAAATTCGATACTTATAAAGAACTGAAAATGCAAGTGGAAAAGTTTTATCTCTTACCTGGAGCGGCTGAAAACCCATGTAAGTCACAGGCCCATGGAAGACATGACAACAAAAACCAATACTTCACAAAAATGCTCATCGTCATTGCGGAGAGACGTTAGGTGGAGAGTGAAACGCTGTTCTGGCAAATCTCACGTTTAACCTACTTGATTAACACTCTTAAAGCGGATGCAGACTTCAGTTTTTTCGTAAATTGCGCTGCTTTATTCGCATTTCCTGGCTTTAATATGTAGATAATTAATATACACTGATGAACGATAATTGTTTACGAGTGTTTTCCAAGAAAACTGTAAATAGTAGGAAAATGAAAAACTCACATACACATTATATAACATTGTGTAATTAATTTAACATATGATTTTGGACCTAGTACCCCTAGTACAAGCATAAGTTTTCAGTTCAATTTTCGTACCTCGAAACATATTTTCGAACTTCCTTAGTCTCTCCTTACGAACATTTCAATATAAGAAGCATAGTGAGCATACGAAGTGAGCACTGTTCTCCACACAGAGTTTTACGTTAAAACCCACGTCTTTCATAACTTCAACCCAATTCTCTACTCCCCACGCAGGTCTACCTTCTACCAGGGAGGCAGAAATTAAAGGCAAGTTTCAAAAAGCCACCCTGTGACTTTTGGCCGATGGAAACAATTAAATCTGGACGCGCAGAGAATCAAATGTCTGTCTCTTTATCTAAAGACATATCTGTGAATATCGTGAAAATCGATCTGTCACCATGGTAGAGGGTAACGCAGGTAGTCCATACAGGCGAGGATGCAGTAGAACATGCTCACTAAATAACCAGTGTTGACACTACTTGGGCTTCCTCGATCCAACTTTTGTACCCCAGGACATATTTTCGAAATTTCGAAGGCTTTCCTTTGAAATATTTTAAAATCTGAGACAGGGCAGAGGATCTTATCCCAATCGTGAATAAATTCAGCGTAGGAAGCAAGAAATTAAGCTCGTTGGTGTACAAATAGGCTACAGCACACAATAATGAAATCACATTGACATTGGAAGTTAAATGTTAAAAATGTCTTTCTCAGTGAAATATTCATTCACTTAGAGCATACGAAGTGAGCACTGTTCTCCATACAGAGTTTTACGTTAAAACCCGCGTCTTTCATAACTTCAACCCAATTCTCTACTCCCCACGCGGGTCCATACCCGGGTCCGCCGTAGTTCATACAGGCGGGGATACAGTAGAACATACCAACTAAATAACCAGTGTTGGCACTAGGGGACTTGAGATTATCTGCAACTCTGCGGCGTAATGGAAAATCTTGAATTGAAGCAGTGCCAGCAGGTTTCAAGACGCGCTTTATTTCTTGCAAAACTTTTGTCGGATCGGGCACGTCATGGATGACATCTGTCAGGAAAACGTAATTATACTTTTCTGTCCAGTCAGAGGGGAGCTTGTGCGCGTCATGGACTTCAAACTGCACATTTTTTATCCCGTTTTCTCTGGCTTCTTTGTTGGCGGAATCAATGGCACGAGCTGCAATGTCAAGGCCAAGGAATTGACTCCTGGGGTATTTTTTAGCCATCGTCTGGAGTAGAAATCCCGTGCCGCACCCAATTTCACACATCAATATACCCTGTTCTGAAAATAAAATTTGTTTCAACACATTTTTAAATGTTAAAACACATTTTTAAACATTGTTAAAACACATTTGTGTCAAAACATTTAGTTTAAAATTTGCTCATTACAATGGTTTGTCTTAAATAAACTTCCTGAGATCAATGTAGTGTTTAATCTCTTATAATATTAACTTATGATCGTAGGCAGGCGGTCATTGAACAGCCTTAAACGTATGGAAATCAAGTTCATTCAAATTTAAAAAATAATAAAATAAATTCCTCAAATCATCAATCATTCATTTACACATTTATCACTGCACGTATCATGAGTTTTCAAAGATCTACCTAATTGTTTTGCTACATCAGGCACCTCCATCAGAGTATTTTCTATCAGCTTTTCAGCATATCCATATCTGCCATATAGGTCGAGGAACTCGTTAAATCCGCCATATGATTCGTGTGGTATGCCTGTTGATGAAATGCAACAACTGCATGAGCAATGGCAAAAGAATAGAGTAAACATCGTCCTGCAAATCAATACATTTTTCATAAATCCATTTCTTTCTATTTTCTCTCACTCTGTGACCTATTTGAAATTTGCATAGCTACTGTTAACACAGTGCATTTTAAATGTTGAAAATGTATGTAGAGTATGCAGCTGGAAGGTCATTTCGAGGTTAATCTATTTGACATCTCCCTCCCCCTCCTTCCCTCTCTCTTTTAAGCGGGTTAGTTTCATTGTAATTAATAATAATAATAATAATAATAATAATAATAATAATAATAATAATAAGCAGTTTTAATCATGCTAATCGCCCAACCCGCTTATTCCAATTCTCCATTCATCGACCGTGTAGATCACTTCCGGACGATAAAATATTTATCAGCAAGTTCACCGACCTTCCCTCCCTCGTTATAGCAATTTGCCACACACACACACTGGGAACAAAGTTATTCTGATATGAAACACAACTCCTTGATCAAGCTAACCGTTTGGTCCCTCCTTTTGGAAGCAACTCTCCAGTTGGCACTGAACACCAGTGAGGATAGGCAGCCCGTACATCCACATCGCGTTCGAATCTCCAGTGTCAGTAGAGAGGTGAGGCAATCGGTCGTTTGGAATGGAAAACTTCTCTTCTCCGGAGTCATCTTCTTCGAAGTTTATAATATCGCTGCACGCCATGAAACCTAGCCACTGTTGAATATATCTTAAATAAAAATAAATAAACAAATAAATAAATAAATAAGCTACGTAGTGGTAGGTTATAAGACGTATGGGAGGTGCGGGGGGTCTCTTTTAGATATTATTAAACAGCCAAGAAGATGTAACATAACTTTTGAAAACCCTGGAAAGGTCCTCTTGCAGCCCTCCTTACGACACTCAACTTGTTACGACAGAAACAACAACAAACCCAAAACTTCATTTGTACCTATGACTGAACAATACTTCTAATAAAACAGTTGATTGAAAAACTAAACATGCTTATAGTTAAACGGGAAGGTGAGGCACGTGTAACACTATAATAACTCGGATTATGGATGGACCCCTATTAGGTGCTTCGACAAATGTGCCTTGTCATACCTCTCTTTACATGTCGTTTTCGTCGCCAATTCTGTCGCTGTGACCGGCCGGTCCATCTCCGCCATGGCGTCGAATAGGCGCAGTCGTATTCCCACAGAAATACCCATAGCCACAAATGTCTCCTTCTTAATATGATTCATGCGCTCAGAAAAGGCTGACATTGTATGTGGTAATATATAAAAGAAGTTACGGATAACGCTCGTTAACTTGTGTACAGGTTGCTAAAACGGATGAACTTGACCTATTTTATTTACCTGTATCATATATGCGGTATGTGTATGTACAGTGTAGGGTGCCCTGTGTGACCTTGTTTCTTGAAACAGAGTTGTGTTCACCAAACTCCCGACATTACGCCGACACTAAGTCTCTAATAATTGCGCATGAGCAAAACATGTCAAATAGTTCTATTTCAACTGTTTGGGAAATATATGCCTAAATTCAGTTATATGCATCTAAAGCATTTTACTGTGTTTTTATTTATGTAAGTTTTGAGGACAAAACTTGTGAAGAACGGAAAAGTTATTATATATATTTATTCATGCATGCTGGTTTTGAAAGAATATAATATCAATGTTCACAAAAAAGAAAAAAAAAAAAGAAAAAGAAAAATATGATAATTTTGTTGCCACTTGTATGCATTTGTGAAAATGAATTGAACATAATAAATTTCTCAGGTGCACTGCCAAAATTAGTAACACAGGTTAGGTAGTAGGTATCATTTTAACACTTGACCTTTCGTACAAGCTGGAAGGTTACTGGAATATGTCTTGAGGGGAAGCAGTGCCATCTGTCTCATTTACAGATCATGAATCATGGAGTGTTTTTTTTTTTTTTTTTCATGAACACAGCGCAGTTAATGACATATTCTCTGAAGAACATCAATATTGTTTCAAGATTTGTTTTATTCAAACTAGGTTATACAACTTGTCGATGGAGTTACACATCTTGTGTCTGTGCCAGACGATGGTGAGTTGAAGCGTTTTAAGGTAAAAGCAGAACAGATTATAAAACAGTGAAAAAATCCTTTCAACATTTTCAACAAATTATTCTTAATTACAAAGGTAGACCTACTTCCAATAAAAAGTTGTTGAGGAAATTATGATTTGTAAACCCATTTCATTTTTACCGTCACGAGTGAAATTGACTAGTTTATACTACAATGTCGCAAAATTATAGTAAGAGTTTCTATGCTCT